TCAATCCCTCCCTTGAGTCTGAAAAGACTTTTCCTCTGTGAGGATGCAGCAAGCAGTGTTTGTAAACTTGGCCCCAGTCCAGCAGGACGTGCTGAAGAAGCTGATGTCCCTCTTGGGCCCTGAGGGTGTCGCACATCATGCTTCGCAAGGCCCAGACGCGCGTTGATAGCGCGTCTCGAGGCTTTCTCACGTTACGAAATGCCCTGTTGGACCATATCCAGCAGAGAGTGAGCGCGGCTGTGCCACAGGCGTCAGCGGCCACGCTGCAAGGCGGGTCGTCTCGATCATGGTGAATGTTAAGTTCGTCGAAGGGAAGGAAGGTGAAAACCTCATGCTCTGGATTCGGGAGGTTGAAAATGGCCATGGGTTCGGCCTTGCTCCAAACTGAGAAGCAGCGCGTGGCACTTGCGATCTCTATGCTCATGTGATAGAGCGGCCTGAAATTGGTTTGCCAGTTGATGGGTGACAAAGATGGGCGACGACCCGGATCTGATTCTGATCCTGGAAGTCACTCAACCCGACCCTCCGCTCAAGTGACTTCGAGTCTCGACCCGAAGCCAGAGCCCTGGTTTCATGAAACCCGAATCCGATTTCCGCTAAACCCGAGTCCGAACTTCGGCGAATCCGAGAATGAGTAGGGACGGTTCCAGACCGGGGCAAGGTGGTACAATGGTTACGGTTGAAGTAAGGTATGATAGCCAATCTAGGTACGCATGAAGATAGTCACTGCTAGGGAGATAGGCAGAGTAGGAATCAGTCCCAAATATTCTTGGTGGCACGCAAGTGTCCCAAGTTTTCCTAGTCTTACAGAAGTCCAGGTGTCTTCTATTCCTATGGAAAACTCCCATTGACTAACTAGTAGAACCGCCCTGATAAGCGCGCCCTCCAGTCGTCGGAAGTATTTTGGTGTACTCAACCTTCAATCCCGTGCCCGAAGTGAGGGATACGTTAAACTATACCGCCGCGGCGTCCCACAATAACCGGACGCCAAGTGTGAAGCCCCGCGTCAGCCCGATAACGCTGCGCAAACCCCGTGGAACCGCCGCCCATAACGCCGTACGACCACGAATAACCCCAACGACGGAAGACGAACAAGGTCCGACGTCGTCAGTCAGAAGAGCGCGGAGTGAGGACCAGCCATACCGTGCCCAAGTCCAACAACCCCTACGCCAAGCTTGACCAACGCCTGTACCCAGAGATATGGTGCTCAAGATCTGGGAAAATACCCACGCCGCCACTAGATAAGGCATCGACGAGGTGAAATCGCAAATTTTTGCGAGTGCGCTACTCCACAATGGTGGGAGTACTACTGAGTTGTAATCAAGCAAGAACCGGAAGCGGGAGCGCCATCCATCGAAAGGTCGTCCGTGGCAAGTGAGATCGAAGAAAGACCTGTCGCGTGGTGGAGTTCGGAGGAAACCTTCACGACAGGCCATGGAACCAGCGACGAACGAGAGGGCTACAAAGAACAGTTTACGTTCCCGATGTGGCTCCGCCCCGAGCCACCGGATTGTGAAGAAAGCCAGCGTCCGCCCGTCTGAAGTCCGCGAAGGCCGAAAATCATCCATGGAAGGCTAAACCCGCGAAGCGCAAGCCGAAGAAGAAGAAGCTGCGTGCACCGGAGTTGGATGGCGAATCACCATCCAAACCGCGGGGCAAGAACGCGGGACGCGAATACACCGCAGGGGAGTGGGAGTACGCGCTGAGTCGCATCAAACTGTTCAAGAAACTGGAACAAAATCCGATCCTGTCTTCTTCAAGAAAAAGCTGATCGGTGTACTTACTTGTCCATTTCATGAGCCCGAGTTCGCGAAGCTCGCGAGCGAACGTTTGGCGATCCAGACGCTGTTCACGATGATTCTAGAATCGGGTTTCGTGTTGGGCGCGTTAGAGAGGAAGTGTCTATACGATAGGGACTTGGAAGCATAGAATAACGCAATCCTCACCATCCTCGCTCCTCTCACCGTGCTAGTCGGAACGATCAAGCCTAAGATGCCTCCGATCCATGGCACCGAACCACGGTGCGATCTCCGCTGTCAACACCGAGGTACATACCCAGCAAAGACCCGGACAGTAGTATCAAGTCCCCGAAACGAATACCGATCCGTCGCGCGCCGCGTGTGATGCAACTTGCTGCGACGTCGGCAGGGCCCAAAACCCGAGTGCCAGAAGGGACTGTCCCCAAGGCTCTCGAAGAAGTGATTGTTCGACTGATGCAGTCAATCAGGATACAGGCACCCGGAACGACACAGAGGACCCCCACCGACGCGAACCAGATTCGCGGGTTACGTCGTCAACTACTGGATACAATCCCGGAAGAAACTACCGACAACGCGATGGAGTTTGTGAGCTCCTATTCGTCGCCCTGATCGAAGCGCGATCGAGACTAGGACTCTGCCGATTTGTTTGACCTCGACGAGAGTAAACCATGTGCCGCGGCGACGTGTTCAACGGCGACGGCCAGCACGGATTTGGAACGCGTACATCTCTCGGCGTTTTCGGAGCTCAAGGAGTTCAATGGACGGAATGCAAGCGAGGAGAAAGCCCAAGCTTGGTTCAACCGTTTGAAATCCGCGTCACGTCGAGACGCAACGGCGGGAGGCGAAATGGGCGCCCAGTTCGGGGACCTGATGATCGGGCCCGCACGACAGTGGTACTTACAACTCGCGAAGACGACACGGAGGTCTTGGATGGAGCTGACCGATCAGTTTCGCATGCAGTACTGCTGCAAAGGGGTGTCCATGACCAGCCAGTACTCTCATGCGTCGAATCATACGGTTGAGACGCCCTTGGAGTAGCTGTATCGCCTCAACGTCGCAGGGTCAAGGTTCACTATGCCGATGGAAGCCCAGAAGAGAAACGAGGGCACGTGGAGTTGTTCATCAACACCCTGGGAGTTCAAGAACAGAAACTCGCGTCACGCATCACGCTCATGGAAATCCCCGGCGCGGCCACACTAGAGAAGAAGCTGCGGGCCCGTCAAGGCGGACTGGCCCCTCAGAAGAAATCGCTATTCGGGTCGACCAAGTTTCGAAAAACAACGCCCGCGAAAACCCCGTCGCCACCTCGAGCTGTCCACCGACGAATACGTCTCGGGACGCGAGGAGTATTCCAGCGACGACCAGCTTTGCGATCAAGCCCGCGACGAAGAAGACCGGGCCAGATTATTCGCGACGGGTCACGCGCCGCTCGGTGAAAACTCGTGACGCGAGTGTACCGGAAAAACGTTGGGTTTCGATCCCCCGAAGTGTCGACACTGCGGGTCTCGTCGCCACGCAGAAGGAGCCTGTTGGAGCCTGCTCACGTGTCAGAAGTGTTCCGGAAAGCATCCAACCGACCGATTCCTGCAAGCTTACAATGCCTGTGGCGACGTGCATGAGGTGGATAAGTGCACACTGGAGAAATTCTTCAACCGGCTGCGTCAGTTGTTCGACCCTCAGAAGCATGCGGGTATGCTTCCACCCACAGTCGTAAACTAGATCGCTCGCTGGCGTGGAAACCAGTACGAGACGAGCGATCTATGTCTGTCTGTGCATATGTTGCCAAGAGAAGGCGTTAGAAAGCAGAAGACAACACTGAATGGTAATACATGCAAAATCCGAAGCGGGACGTACCGCGCAAGAACGCGTTCATGAGTTGCGACCATCCGTCTTGTAGACGAATACGCGCGCGAGCCGGTTGTGGACGTGATCGACCTACGGCCAGGCGAACACCAGGGATACTGGAAACATTTCGCGCCGGATAAATGATACAAAGAGGCCAAGATCCACGGAAAGCTGAACAACCGAAAGGCAGTGTTGTTGTTCGATACAGGCGCCGACGTGTCCATTTTGAACACCACCTTTGCTCGTGAGGTAGGCTGCCTGATCGATACGAGTATCACTCAAGTGTGCGTTGGCATCCGCGACGAGACGTACTTCAAGGTAGGTAAATCCGCATCAAGATCACCTTGGCCGGGAACCTGGTATACTACGCGGACCTTTGGGTCGGAGACTTGGCCGGTCAGCACGCGATTCTGGGAATGGACTTCATGGTACCAGCCGGAGTGCGAATCGATGCCGCCGCCGGTACCGCATGTCTCCCGGATGAAGTCCGGATTCAGCTGATTGGGAGAGGACTATTGTACGGAACGAAGATGAATATTCCAAGCTTGACGCGCATCGTGACAGGAGACTCGTATGGCATACCGCCGATGCCCGACAAGATGACACCGATGCTATGTAAAACGCGCGGGGTACATCCGTGATCAAGGCTCGGGTCGGACGCTGCATATATTTACGCGTGACGAACGAGGCTGAGAGGACAACCATCCTCAACGTTCACACCACGATTGCTGGGTGGACACCAGTTAATGCTGTACACCGCAGGATTGACTTTGTTCAGCCAGGATCAAGGAAGTACGACGAATGGCAAAACTTGGCGTAATGTGCAATCATCGAAGTGAACAATGGGTACAGGGCCCAGAGACCCCGATGACGGAACGACGAGAGTATCAGGACCCGAAATCCATCCTGCGACGGACCGAGACTGAGGTCAAGACAAGAAGCGAACGACGCGAGCCAGTCGTGATGACGGTCACCATTAAGAGCGGGTCGACGGGCGGCCGGAAGGAGATGATAGAGACTCGGGACGCGGATGTGTTAAAGTCGGAACGCTTGGAGAATCCGGCGACGGAAACTCCGGACGATGTAGAAGCGCAAGATCTGAAACTCGAAGACATTTCCGAATACGAACACACGGACGCGGAAGGGATCCTACACGAGGATTCAGAGCAATTCGTCGAGGATCTGGAAGCCGAGATGGCGGTGCGGCCGGAAATTTCACTAACCGTGAACGTCAAGATCGAGGACTTGAAGGTCGGACTTCCCACCGGCGTCGACCAGGACGAGGCCGTGAAAATGGAAGAGATGCTACGTAAAATCGTCTGGAAAAAGCGGAAGTGGCTGATTGGAAAGGGAAATGCCCTTCCCCCGCGGCCAAGGGCGTAGTGTGCGACATCGATGTGGGAAATGCGAAGCCCATCGCTCAGTGTGGTGCTGTAACCTCACAGAATCTTCAACGGACCCCCTCCCACGTCTGAGTCAAGATGATTGGTGGATAGACCGGTGACGCACGGAGACATGTGGATAGGAAAGGTGATGTGACATGCAGATCGCTAACTTTTAACGGCAACTTTGGATGTCTCGTACCGAGTGGAAGTGTGCATCGTAGGTCCGCAGGCTTGACCCAACTGGAGAATGAGCTCTGTCCGGACCATAGACCATCCGACGGTGAGTTAACCCCATAACTGGGAGTGGAAAATACCCTAGGAACGTACCCTGGGAATGTATCTCGCCCTGGCTACACTCACATACGACCAAATACCCAAGGCGAATGCTATATTGCGACCTCGAGAGCATTTATCCAAGGGTTCCAAGTGGCCTCTATGTATTACTGTCTATCACCACTTTTCTGTACTGAAAGTGGAGATATCTTTTCGAATGGATATGTAGGTTTCCGAACGGAACGACATCGTTCCGGACGAAGAGTCCAAGGCACTTACTTCGGAGAGAAGCCCAAGTATATATGAAGTCATGCATCATCACGAAGTTCAAGGACCATCAAGAAGTCCAAGTTTTTCAGATATGTGAGATGATCTACGAAGATGTGATGCTGTCCGGACGTGTAGACTAGTCAGGCTTCGACTATACAAAAGTCGATTCTTTAACGACCGATCAAGCCGACCAGACAAAGACTTGAAAAGCACCATCAAGGACTCCGTCATCAAGTGATTGTGTACCGTTCGATGATTTGAAGGGTACTTTCACCATACTCAAGTCAAGTCATTTTGGAATGTGTGCGGATTCGCATGCAATATCGTTTACGAATACTTAGCTTTTACTAGATAACTTTAAACAGAGTTCGTTTTGCCTGGAAGGTGACAAGTGCTTCGGATAACCTTGCTTGGATAACTCAGGCCCAGCGGGACTGAAGACACTGCGCCCGAGATAGGACCGTTGTGAACGCTATCCGACGTGGACCCTCGTGTATGTTAAGACCAAATTAGACGGAGTCTGCGGGCGGCGACGCTCGCCAAGGTGTGATCTGTTCTGTTTCTTTTCCAAGTTAGAGCCCGTATACGTTTCCGAACGGATAGTCTCTATTTCATATTACCCTGCGGTTTTAGGAGGTTTGTTAGTGATCGCCCCTAGGACTGTATTTTGATTGATTATTGTGTGATAGTACGTATATTGTTTTGAAACGTATCTTCGATTTGGAACCAGTTTCCTTATTGAGGTGGTACGCGAAACGTTAAGAAAGGATTGCCGACGTGACTGATCAATGTCTCGTTCGGAACTGGTGTTAAGACCGACCCTTTTACGGTCTAGAAGAATAAGAAGTGGCTGTATACTGTATAAAACTCTGTATTGATTTGGTTACCTGGAGGAAGCTTTGTGTGTAACCTTCTTTCCTTCTTATATACCGGGTTCGGAAGTCTTCGCTCGGTAAGACAATCCGTTCTGATTGATATCTAACAACTCATTTGGTGGAACCCCTCTGTTGGTCGAAGATAAACGGATCGATAGGGATTACACAAGGGCACACATCACCTCCGTTCGGTACACTAGTTGTCCGTCCAGAATTGGAACCCAAAAGACCCTCTGTGCTTTGGAATCAGAGATGTCTTCCAGCACAGCGCTATACACCTGGGTGAGAAAACGTGTTCATCCACGTTACTACATCAGCGCGTGCGGAAGATCTCGAGTCAGTTTTGAGAAAAGCTAGCCGATCCGATCAGAGGCCTGCTCAGCGCCCGTATCGTTCGGGCTTTAAGGTTCCCATGGGCATCCTCATCGTAGTCATCGTGAAGAAGAACGGGGTAGATATCTGGTTCTGCGTCGACTACAGACTGGTTAACAGCCTGAGGAGCTGATGGTCTACCCTATGCCGTTGGTTACAGACCCGCTCGAAGTCCTGGACAAGTACAGGTGGTACTGCTCCTTGGACATGGCCAGCGGATCCTGGGTGGTCCCAATGACGGACCGCGCTAGACTCACATCAGCCTTCATCACGCCGTTCGGCATGTCTGAATGGTTACGCATACCTTTTCGGATTGTACAACGAGCCGCAGATATACCAGCGGCTCATAGACAACGCGTTGTACGGATTTTGGAAGCTGTCGCTCACCGGCGGCACCAGTGATGTATTCAACACCGGAGATCCAGCGAAGCCCAGACCGAGATAGGTGCTAGGTCGACGATCATACATTGACGACATACTGATCGGAGGTACGACATGGGACGACCTGTGCGAAAAGGTTTAACGTCTGCTAGAGGTCTGTGAAGAATGGCATCTGTCGATTAGCGTCGAGAAGAGTGAGTGGGGTATGCCATGTGTGGCGGACCTGGGCCACGTGGTATCGGACCTGGGGCTCGGGGCGAAGCCGAAAAACCTGGAGTCCTCGGCGACTTTGGAGTTCCCACGAACGTTGAAAGATCTTCAATCGTTTTTGGGTAGCTGAAATACTACCACAGTTCATCCCCAGTTCGCGATCTCTGCAACGAGGCTATACTCGCTCAAGGAACGCGATTTTGGCAAATACGTCACGGACCCGAAAAACTGTGAACAGGAAAAGTGAGTTCACGCCAAACGCGCGTTTGAAGCCCTCCGAGCGAAGATCGCGATGACCCCGATGTTGAAGCATTTCGACGCGGAGAAGCAGCCCGTCGAGATAGTGTTTGCGAGCAACTGGGCCATCTCAGCCGTACTTGCACAACAACATGATGGCGTGTACATTCCGATGAAGTTCACGAGTCGAACGCTGAAGCCCAACGCGCTGAACTTCAACACCACTGAGAAGGGGGTCTTAAAGTTGTTGCGAGTTTTGAGCGACAGTCATACCATGCTGATCGGGAAGACCATATGCGTGCTTACACGACATACGACATTAGGATGGCTGTTCCGGACCAAGGGTTTGCAGGCACGGTTGTCACAATGGGCGTCGATTCTCTCACCTTGGAGGTTTGAAGATCAGCGATCCACGAAAGGGGAAGAGGCAATTCTCGGAGCCTTGGCCGCGAGCATTACGCCGCACGCATATGTTGATATGACAATGGAAGAGATCGCACCGCGAAAACGCGTACCACGGACGACCACAATCCAGGTTTCGAAGAGCGGCAGAAAGGCTTCACGTTGTAAGCTTCAACGGGTCGGCGCGAGTCAAACGAGATAGCGGAGCGTTCGGTGTGATCGTCTTGGTACTGCCAAACTGGAACGTAGTAAGCGTGGCTTCGGGGTACGCGGATGACTTCACGTGAACGAGGCCGAGTACCAAGATATGCTATTTCTCTTCGGCGGGCTGAAAGTAGCACGCCTAATAGTCTGCGAGGACTCTAACCTCGTCATCAGACAAATGAGCGATGAGATGGACTGCAAATCACCTGGCTAAACCTCCCGAGGTAACAAGCGTGGAATGCTCCGCGAACTTGACCGGAACACGAATTCTCATATATACACCAAGACTGGAACACGAGCGCGGACATGTTAGCCGGACAGGCTCTCCAACGTCAGGGAGGGAAATGCACGTACAATCCCAAAGAGTGGAAGGCCTCAAGACATTGAACCGGTTGCAGGAAGTCGTACGTCCACAGACCACGGATACCGAAGGCCCCGAATTCGAAACTCGGGAATGCGAGCTGACCCAAAACCCCGATAGAGCTAAACCTGGAATGAAGCGTATGGCCCCAGTTATCACCTGATCCCGGGATGCGGTAAACCAACGACAGCCACGCGAAATCCGGATGTTCTGGTCGAACTCGCCGTGCAACAGATCCGTCTGGGCCTCGTCCGCATGGCACAAGGATAGGAGCTCTGGATATCCAACTTGAAGCAATTCGTGGAAGGGAATATCGGCAAACTCTCGAAACGCGAGGTGCGTAAGTGTGCCTAACCTGCGGACCAGTACGAGGTGAGAGACAGCGTGCTGCTGTACTACCATGTGTGGGGAAACGATTTGGCCGAAGACCGGATATAATCATTAAGCTCGGGGTTCCGGAGACTATTCGCATATACTGCACTACTACCACGCGAGCTTGGAAGGCGGGCACCAAGGCATAGGTCGAACCTACCAGCGCATCCGGCGACATTGGTCAGGCTTGTTCGGAAGCGTGCAATGTCACGTGATTGAGTGTACGGATTGCGATACCGGGAAAGAAGGCCGGCGATCCAAGGAGAGTCGCCCGGAAACATTGTCGCGACGTACCCATTCCAAGTCATAGCGATGGATCACATCCCGTCGTTGTCCGTGTCGCACAAGAGAAATAGGGGGCTGCTACTATGTGTGACGAAGCACATTGGAAATTTCTGGTGGCAACCGCCGTTGCCCGAGCGTGGTATATTTTGGATTTGCGTTGGTACAAGGAAGTGATATTTGGGAAGATAACAAGTTTGCATTCTCGAAGATGGGTGTTGTTTGGAGTACTTGTAGATGCGAATGCGTTGAAGGCTGTGTATGCTGATGGCTGATCTAGTAGAGGCTCACAGGTTTGGAAGCGTACGATACGCTCTGTCGAGCCGCCGACCGCTCGACAGTAGGTTTTAAAATGCTTCTGGGAACGTATCCCGGGATGAAGTCTACCTTGGTAAAAGTTGGCCATCAACCAAAGCTACCAATTCGAAGTAACTACCAACATGCGTGTTATCAAGTACCAGACATGTAAATCCTGTACACCAGTACACCCATAACATCCCGAAGTCTGACCGATGACATGTTACTCGAAGGTGTTGTTCAAGTTGTTTACTACGAAGACATTCCGAATGTATCCAAAGATAGCGAAAACGCGTGTTGGCCCAGGATGGTCGACTGTACCAGTGGATTGAGTATCTCACCAACGGCGAAAAGGACGCCTAGGGGCCAGACACTGAGCATTTCCAAAGTAATGACGAGCCTATGAACGAACTTCAGGACACTCGAAGATGTACCTGAAATGGATGAAGGCATGGAGGCCTAGAAAGATGGATGAATCAGTGGACTGAGTACCTAGCTGACGGCGAAAAAGTAGCCTAGGGGGACGAGACGCTGAACATACCTGCCAAATGGAGAGCTTATGATGAAGTCTACAAAGAACATCTCGATTGACGAGGTGCAACCCCGAATGACAAGATGGCCATCCCAAATGACAGAATTGCACCCATACCCAGTATCAAGGTCCCAGTGTACCCACGATGAGGCCTGTTTCGAAGACAACGTGCAGCAGATCCGTGATGTGTTTGACATCATCCTTGATGTGTGGTTGATGATTGGCGCTCAAGTATACAAATACCAAGTCATCCCGAGTGTGTGTGATTGCAAAGCAGACGGAGACCGTAAAGAAGACCCAAGACAATCCAAGAAGAAAACCAAGACACGAAGAAGATAGGTTTTAGAATAGTTTTAACCACAGTTTGATTGTCTTCATAGGACATAAGTGGTTCGCAGGAACCGTGTTTTGAGTCGTATGGCACCGAAAGAGATCTGTTTGAACGATTACTAAGGGAGTCATTGACTCGGGGATCACAAGCGCAACGGACTGACTACGACCACGCGAGAGGCATGAAAGCTCTCATCATCGTTTAAGCTAAATTAACTCGGGATCGGTGCGCTTGGACCATTGGGCTGATCCGGTTATTTCATTTGCTAAGTTGCTTCTGGACACCTTCAAGTGTCTGGTTGAATTTTATATTACCCTGCAATTTAGGAGGTTGGATCGAGCACCCCTAGGTCTATATTGTTGTGTGAACGGAAAGTCCTTATATTGATTTCTACTGAAGTGATTCAGAAGTGGTGCGCGTAGGGCAGCTCGAAATCTACTTGTATTCGGGCTTGTCTAGGCTGTATATTGGATTTCAAACTCTGTATATTCTGGAAGGTCATCTGTATTATTTTAGGTTAATTATGATTCTTGGGAAGAAGGTATTTGCTCGTAATCTCTCAGCCTACGCTCAGAACAACAAGGGCAAAAGGGTCTCGGAAGTTCTCTTACATGTTATATATATCCAATTGGCGATAGCAATTGCGACGGATCCCTGGTTTTCGAATTAATCGAACCTATAGAGATTGGCACAAGGCATACGCCAACCCGGACTGGAACAAGTTTTCAGCTCGAGTCTTGTACTACCTGAACGTTTCATTTGAATCCATTCAAGGCGCGCCATACACCTTGGGCGGAGAAGTGTTCACCCACTTCGTCACAACTGGTGCGCGTGCCCGGATTCGAACCAGGGATTTCGCCGTATTGTACATTTACGATAGGATTTTGAGGGGTGTTGAGAGCTACTAATCTTCTAATCCTGGTAGTTATGAGTGCAGTTGAGAACACACGCAAAGAAAGAGGGCGCAGTCGCGGACGCGGAGGAACGCCAACGCAGTCGCGTCGAACTCGTGGCATGCAGCCCGCAAAGCAGAAGCGTATTGAAGTTGCTGAGAAGAGGGCTCGCGCTCGAAATGCTGCAGTTCGCGAGGAGAAGATGAAGGCGTAGTCGAAGGACGCTCGAGCACAGCCGGACTCGGAGGAGGCTATTTAGGATGCACACCATGCCACCCTGGATGGCGCCGCTGAGCAAGACCCGAAAGAGAACACGCCGGTTGGATCTGGAGAAGACTCCAACTCGGACTCGAGTGTGGAGAGTTTGGGTGCGTCCGGTCCGGATACGTCTGACAGGTGTCTGTGGGAAGGCCGTCAAGGTTGAGTCCCTAGCTGTGGACAGAACTTCGGATAAGCCTCGGACGGGTGAACATGTGATCGATGTGGATGCTCTGGAGGAGATGTCAATTCCGGAGGGGACGCCCAAGGTGAAAGGTGCGCTGTTGACCGTTAAGGATGAGACTGCGTCGGATGTCCTGAGTGACGCTTCACAGCCGAAATCGGAGCCTCGGCATTGTCAAGTTCGGACGCGCAAGTGTCGAACACCAAAGTGATATCCCGGATACAGACACCAAGGTCGTCTCGGGAAGTGATCGATTTGACTGCTAGCGATGTCGCTGTGGTGTCCGAAACTTCTGCCGCCCCGAATCAGGAGAAGATTTATGTGGACGACCAGGTTCGTCCTGGGAGCACGTTTCTCTGGAATTCGTGATGTCTCCAACGATCGAGTATGCCTGGCCTCATCCCACATAGAATTTCCAAGCGTGGTATGAAGTTGTCTTGCGCATCAGTTCAGGTTCAACAAGTGAAGAACTCGCAGGGCTGCGAGTCACTCGGACACCGGCCTTCCTCAGGCATGTGACACACTCACTTACAAGTAGTTCGGCCTCATAACTCGACAACAATACATCATCTTCGACTTCTTCCGGTTTCAAGGCTTCCTCGTAGTCTCTCGAGCTGCATACATACAGGAGTGACACCATTCGGAACTGCACTCCTGAAATGACTTGGTGCCATTCCAAAACCGCCATGGCCAGGAGGTGTTATATTTCCTCGGCCACCTTTCGAACCGTGCCATCTTCCGCTCGGGAAGTATGCACTAGGAACCACACTAGGATCAAGTTGCGACACTTGAATCCCACCTCGAAGAACATGGTCTGGAAAACCGCAGTGGACAATCCATTCAGGGACACCGTGATCGATGTAAAGTCGGTGACCACATTTGGTGCCAGCCTGA